TATCTTTTCTTTTTTAGTAATTCTTCCTGTCTGAATATCACTGTTCACCTTAAGCAAAATAGAGATCATATTATTACTGTGAGATAGTAAAAGACTCTGTTGTTGTGGTCAACACCTGTAATAAATGTAAAATTTGGCTTTCTAATGGGTAGCGGAAAGGTCCCTTTCTCTTTGCCCCCACTTCTCCCATCTAAAGTAAGTATTTAACATCATTGCTCTTAATAGCAACTCAAAATAACATATTTGCGCAAAGACAAGAATATGGCAGCATCTGAAAAACAAACTATCCCAGGTCATCGTAACTGAGCCACCAGAGCAATGTTAAAAAATATTTACAAGCAAAGAAGCTCATGTGAAGTCTTGGAATTAGGTCTTTTGACTACAAGGCTTCAGAAAACATTTTCTGGTGCTTGCCTATATAACTTTATGTCATTCATGATCGTGTGATCTTTCAAAACTGCAAGATTTTACAAAGACGTATGAAAACCCAGAGAAATGGGGCAGCTGCTTTCACCAGGCACTTCTGAAACTCCACCAAGACCTCCTGTGCCTCATTTTCTACGTGTGCCTGAGACATGTGAGATCTGCCTGCCCCAGTAGTCTTGGTGAATACTGAGATAAAGCTTTCTGCAGCTGACAGCCCACAGGATGGAAAAATTCCACCATTTCCTCTCTTTGACTATGAAATGACTGGAATGACTCAGCTCGTGTAGTTAGCGTAGCAAGTGTGACCTTTTTAAAGAAGGCTGCCGTATGGAGCTTTTTCGCCTCTACTTTCTCCAATTTTCCTTTACTCAAGAATGACCAGCTTCAAAGAAAAAGTTCACTGCTCTAATTGAATATTCTCCATATTGAGAGGGGTAAAAATAAACATTCTTCTCGGTTTATTCACGCATAAACTCGAATCATCCAAGTGTGACATCTGAAAGGAACTACATGATTATAATCTGAAATGAGAACAAAGTTCATCTTGTGCGATTTCTTATTTTTCCCCTGCAGACTTTGAAAGGGGAAAGAGATTGCAGAATCTTAATATCCATTAAATCTCAAGAAAGCCAGGGCTGTGCGCACCTGTGTTAACCTTTTTAGTATTCTGCTGGCTAATTGTCTGTCCGTTCCACCTTCTCCTCCCAGGTTAATGGGGTGGTTAACAGGGGAGGACAGGAATGGTTGGCCAATCACACTACAAAGCAAACTGAAAAGGTCAAAGTAATGCGCTGTATTATTCATGGACTATGCCTTGCCGAGGTATCTTAGATCTCATGTCTTCTCGTGATGAATTGCAACAAGAACAAGAAACAGCCCAACGTGAAATTGGCTCTTGTGACAATGATTGTAGTTCAAATGGAAAAATGTAAAACTGTGGCCTGCTGTTGTTCTGTTTTTTGAGGTTAAAGATGTGTGATCACATCTAGCTGCGGAATAAGCAACAGGTTACATTTGTACAACTTCTCAGCTGGGTTGTAAGTATAATACAGTGTATATGTATATAGATTCTTCTAATTTTAGTCATGGGCTTTGTTTTGGAAGTACGGTGCCTAATATCCCTCCTATGTCTTCTATGTCAATAAACTAATGATTAGTTTATAGATTTCTTAATATGAAACTGCTTTTTGAGCGGTGTTTTGTTTAGAAGTATTAATGTGCTAATTTCCAAGAGGCCACCTAGAGTGGACTGTAAGACAGTCCTTGTTTTCAGGAGTTTGCAATCTGTATAGTCAAATTTGAAGGAAAACTTGATGTAACCATTCTTTTCTCCTTCACTTTTGATGTGAAATGGAGGTAGAGGGAGCAACTTGCAGAGGCAGGAGTGTGACTGAGGTACTCTGAATTATTTTCTGAGTACCGTCCCTCCCATTGACTACAGAAGGAGACTAGCAACAGCAGAGTACTGATGTAATCCCTAGCAGTGGATGCCATTAGTGCATGTCCTCATTTAGTCGCTACCACTGGATATCATGAGTCCATTTCAGCTTCTTCCTCTGGTGGTGTGTTTAATTTAATACTTTAGCAGTAGACCCATTCTCCATCACTTTGAATAACAAACTTGTATTTTTCAAGTGTTTTTGTCACACCCCTTTGACAGAAGAAACTTCACAAACAGTGAAAGTGAGAAGTGTTTGTTAAGACCAATTGCCATCTGAGTTGTAATTAGTGTTGTAACCCAACCGCAAACATATACCTAACACCTGAAGGCGCTGACTCTGCTTGTGCTCATTGTACCTTCCAGGGCTTAGTACAGAAGTTCTGGCATTTGTAAGGAAGCAAGGATTGCAACAGCAGGCAGAAGAGTTACGAGGCAGTCTTAAGGGAGAGGGTATTTATACCTTCCCCCTCCCCCCACGCTTTCTTTAAATTGGTATAGTGTTCTTTGCTTTTCATTGAGTGGTTTCAACTGACATCAGTTGCCTGAGGCCAGTGAACCTAGCTGTCAACAGATAAATCATTTTTGTGACAAAAAAATTCTGTGATGGAGGGAAACAAACCCCCATCATTCATTTGGCAACTAGTCTTTGAAAGAGAAGTGACCTGAGAGTGGAACTCTTGGGGAGTGGTCTCAGATGTGTCCTTGTGTATGAGACTAAAATAGCCACAGCAGCCATGGGCCAGACTGTTTTTAATGTGCCCTTAACAAAAAGGAGGATGAGAAATGAAGTCCAACTTGTAATAATATTTCGTGGATGAGGGGAGCTATGGTATATGTCATCACCCTATAGAAATCACCAGTTAAGAGGCCAGAGAATCATTATAATGCAGCCTGCAATTTCTGCAAAAGGCAAGTTAATTATTATTATGTGTTTTAATTTTTGTAGATGGTTGTAGTGAATCTCATGCTTTAGAAACTATACTACATGCAGCAAGCATCAGAAATCCCCCTCCTTCCCCCCGCCTTCTTCCCCATTGTCCAGCCAAAACGTAGTTATATTCATGGAGTAAAGTTGACTCTCAGCGAGTCCTGAATAAAATACTATGCAGATATGCAGATTTGGGCCTGGGAATCTGTGCATTACAGAGGGTTATTTTTGGAAAACAGCAACGCCCTTCTCTATGACAGCGGCTCCTTTCACGTTTGCTTTGTGTTGTTTCACAGCTGACTTCATCTCCTGACAACTGCTTTAGCCTGTGGCTTTCTAGAGGCTAAAGGGCACTGTAGCCAGCTGTTGGCCAAGATGTTTCCGACACCTTACAGATTGATTTGGGCTATGGCCCCTCTCTCTCAGTGATGTATTGATCTGCAGTGTAAGAGAGGTTTTCCACCCCACCTGATATCTGAAAAGTGAAATGTCACATCTTGTCTCAGATCTGGGTCTCTTGCAAAGCTCCACGATGAGACTGGTACAGCTTTCTTGGTGTGCTCGGATCAACTTGTTCATGTCACACGGACAACTATTTTTCATTGGCAGTGTTGCTTTTTTGTTCCCAAAGATCACATGTTTTCAGTGCACTTTATTCTTTTTCATCATTCTAGGTAAAAATACCCAATTTTGCATTAAATATTGCAGAATTGTAAGCCAGCTTGCATGAAATTAAGCGTATTTGCTTAAGAGCCTCATGATTTACCAAACTGTGTGTTGACTGTGACTCGATGATCCCTGGGGAGCCGTCTTTCTGATTTAGTGTGTGCCTCCTCATCAAAGATGGATGATTGCCACTATGTGTCATAAAACTTCATCTGACAAAACCAACTCCATAGCAAAATAATGCCATCTCCAAAGGGCAATAATTCTTCGTTTCGCTGTCCCACATGTTTAAGGAGCTCAGACTAGCTCAGATTTTCTAAAAAGGATTTCTTTATACTTACTCTGTTAACAATGAACAAAGGACCATCAAAGCTTTTGCCAGTTCTTTCTTAGTTTTCAAAAATCTTTTATGAGAGCCTAGGAGGATGGTCTATAGCAGCTAAAAATCTGTAGGATTTAGACTCCTATCTGTGATAAATAGATAATGGGAATTAAGTGGCTAAATGCCTTTGAGGTCCTGGATTTTTAATTAAATCATAGGGCTGGGAGGTGGATTTTTCCTTTCTTTCTATCTTTTTGTTTTAAAGTCAGACTTTAATGAGAAAATGTAATGAACCGAATGCTGTTTTTATAGGGTGAGGTTACAAAGTAAACACAGTGAACAAAAAGGAAATGCCAGCCTTAAAAGAGACTGCACACAGCAGCTGGGGATGCCTGTCAAACATCATCTGATAAGGTGATCTCTATTGAAAAGTAGGTGCGTTGCTTTGCTCACCGATGACAGGTCTCAGAGGATTTGGGAACCTGTGCTCCCTTGAAGACCAAAGCGATGTAACATGTGCCTACACGACAGACGGCTGCCGTGGGAGTGCAGGATGTGTCGCTGATCCTTAACCAAGAGATTTGTGCTGGAGAAGGCAGGTGCAGTTATTCTCTTCCCTGGAGTGTTTGTGCATTTTTTTAAAAAAACAATTACCATCTAATGGGGGAAAAAATCATCCTTAGGGCACAGACGAGAGTGAAGGACTTCACATTCTTAACCACGGGGCAACAGCTGGGCTCCTCTTTTTCCTTTCTCTTCTCGTAGCGTCGT